CTATCTGTCCATCTGTCCATCCATCCATCCCCAAACACAGCTATCCATCCATCCATCCATCCATCCATCCATCCATCCATCCATCCATCCATCCATCCGTCAATCCATCCCCTTACTCATCCATCCATCCATCCGTCCGTCCGTCAATCCATCCTCTTACACATCTATCCATCCATCCGTCCATCCATCCATCCGTCCGTCCATCCATCCCCTTACACATCCATCCGTCCGTTCGTCCATCCATCCATCCATCCATCCCCTTACACATCCATCCATCCATCCATCCATCCATCCATCCATCCCCTTACACATCCATCCGTCCGTCCATCCCCTTACACATCCATCTATCCGTCCATCCATCCATCCATCCATCCATCCCCTTACACATCCATCCATCCATCCGTCGTCCATCCCTTACACTTCCATCCATCCATCCATCCATCCATCCCTTACACATCCATCCATCCATCCATCCATCCATCCATCCATCCATCCATCCATCCGTCAATCCATCCCCTTACTCATCCATCCATCCATCCGTCCGTCCGTCAATCCATCCTCTTACACATCTATCCATCCATCCGTCCATCCATCCATCCGTCCGTCCATCCATCCCCTTACACATCCATCCGTCCGTTCGTCCATCCATCCATCCATCCCCTTACACATTCATCCATCCGTCCGTAGATCCATCCATCCATGCCCTTACTCATCCATCCATCCATCCATCCGTCCGTCCATTCATCCATCCCCTTACACATCTATCCATCCATGCCCTTACTCATCCATCCATCCGTCCATCCATCCATCCATCCGTCCGTCCGTCCATCCATCCCCAAACACATCCATCCACCCGTCCGTCCATCCGTCCATCCATCCCCAAACACATCCATCCATCTGTCCGTCCATCCATCCCCTTACACATCCATCCATCCATCCGTCTGTCCATCCATCCCCTTACACATCCATCTATCCGTCCATCCGTCCATCCATCCACTTACACATCTATCCATCCTTCCATCCGTCCATCCATCCATCCCCTTACACATCCATCCATCCATCCATCCATCCATCCATCCATCCCCTTACATATCCATCAATCCATCCGTCCATCCGTCCATCCATCCATCCCCTTACACATCCATCCATTCGTCCGTCCATCCATCCATGCCCTTACTCATCCATCCATCCATCCATCCATCCGTCCATCCATTCATCCATCCCCTTACACATCCATCCATCCATCCGTCCGTCCATCCATCCATCCGTCTGTTCGTCCATCCATCCCCAAACACATCCATCCATCCGTCCATCCGTCCATCCATCCCCAAACACATCCATCCATCCGTCCGTCCATCCATCCATCCCCAAACACAGCCATCCGTCCGTCCATCCATCCGCCTGTTCACTTTGTGACCCATAAGCTGAACTTACCCAAGTGGTTTGTATGGGTATTTCCGTGTTGTCTCCTGTTAACCGCCCCCGTCTCCCCCCTCACCTCCCCAGAGGGCTATTACATCTACGTCGAGGCTGGGAGCCTGTGGCCGGGCCAGTCCGTGCGTCTGGAGTCCCGGGATTTCTGCACCGCTGATGCCGTGTGCGTGGAGTTTTACTACTACATGGCCGGCATCGTGGAGACCGGAACCCAGCTCCGGGTGCTGGCCTGGGGGCCCTCTGGCCCTGGCCTCCCCCTCTGGACCCGCACCGGCCTCCAGAGCCCGGCCTGGCTGCTGGGCTCTGTCACCGTGCCCGCCGGCCGCCTGCAGCCCACCCGGGTGAGCGGGATTGTGGGGGCGGGGGGCTGGGCTGGGGTGAGGAGAGCTCCCTTCCTCCATTCTAGGGTGTCCCCCAATTCCTTAGCCCTCTGGGGCATTGCTGCTTCCACTTTGGTATCCCTGGAACTCCCTGCTGCAGGGTGGGAAAGGGCCGGGAGCCTGATCTTGGGGCAGGCGGGAGGCCAGGGTAGATGGGCCCAGGGGGACAGATCTCGGGGCAGGCGGAAGGCTGGGGTAGATGGGCCCCTGGGGAGAGGGAGCAGCTGGCTGGCCCCTGACTCCGCTCTGTTGACTTAGATCATCTTTGAAGTGGTGCGGGGCGACCTGCCGTACCTCGACGTGGCCCTGGACAATGTGTCGGTGCGGAGGGGGCCCTGCCCAGGTGAGAGGTGCTGGGGGGTATCAGTCGGGGGGGGGGGTGTGTCCATGGGGATGGGCGGCTGGGCTGACAGGAGATACGGGGAGAAATGCCGGGTTGTCGTGTGTGTCCGTGAGCATCCGTGCATGGGGCGTGTGCCAGGCGTGTGTAAGGCATGTGCATGGTGTGTGCACGGCATGTGCCAAGAGACCCATGTCGGGGGGAACCCAGCACACGTGTCCCTCCCGCTCATGTGCGGCTCTGTTGTGTCCCCCACCCTAGGAGCCCCGGTTACCCCACCCACGCCAGCTCCCAGCCTCACAGCCCCCACCAGCCCTGGGGGCCCAGGCTCCTCCCCAGCAGGGACTGCCACCCCCAGCGGCACCACAGCGATGCGTCCCACGGCAACCACCACCGTAGGAACCGGCACCGCCCTCAGTGGCACCACGGCAACCAGCACCGTAGCAACCGGCTCCTCCCCCACTAGCACCACGGCAATCACCACCGTAGCAACTGGCACCGCCCCCACTGGCACCACGGCAACCACCACCGTAGCAACTGGCA